CCATCCCCAGACGTTTGACTCATCCGAGACAGGTGAGATTGTTTGGCCAAGTTCAAACCCAAGTTGATTTGAATTCCCAATGAAGATCCCTAACAAATGGCCCCAAAATCTTCCACAAGTATTCAGCTGGGTGGATCTATATGATTCATTTTCATTCACATAAAGCCATTCATTAAGCCCTGGCAATTAGTCTGGAAACATCTGCATTTGTTCATTTTTGTAGCAAATCGTGCAACTTTTTTCCTTGACCAGAAGATGGCAGCACCTCTGATAGGAGAGGAGGTATTCTGTGCATGCATTAGTAAGGAGTTAGAATGAGATCATACTGTATATTATCACAGGACACTGCATGCTGCAGCTGCTAACACAGTCTGGTATAAGGTTTTCATTTCTTTCTACCCAGGATGGTTGTTTGCTAATATATGGATGTGTGTGTGTGTGTGTGTGTGTATGTGTGTGTGTGTGCGCGCGCGTGTGTGTGTGTTCCCTGTCATAAGGCCTTCTTTCAACCAGTCCTGGCTGGGCATCTGCTCCTGCTATCCGTTAAGGGAAGGGGGTAGAGTGTGTGTGCGTGTGTGCGTGTGTGCGTGTGTGCGTGTGTGCGTGTGTGTTGACACAGCCTCTTGCAGTCTATCAAGTGGGAGGGCTGCATTTTTTCTTTACAGTCTCTCCATAGAGGTGAATAGCTGCTTTATGGCTATCAGGACCCACTCACCAAATATAAACGTATATATGTGTGGATGTATGAGTCACACTGACACACCGATAGTTCTATGGGGTGAGTCTGGACAAAATGTGAGTGCAGATGTACAGAGGATCGTCTTTTTTTCATTCTGTGATGGTCTTTAAAGGAGTGTTGATGTTTTATCTGGTTGTTGGAGAGGCAGAGATACCGAGGAAATAAAGATAAACATCTCAACAGGACTTTATATAGACTATGTTGAGAAAACATGTACTGTGTCCATTTACTGTGCTTTTGACATGTATTTTTTTTATTAAAGACTCAGAGAATTAAAGCTGCAGGTACTGCAGCCAACAGGAAATGAATACTGTGCTGCACTGTACTATATGCCACTATTGTTCAACTTGAAGAGGAACTGTCTGGGAAAGTCAAGTTTCATTCTCATTTCAGCCAGAAGACACAAAAAAGGATTTGACCCCCAGTCATTGAGACTCAGTCTTTGTAATACTTTGCAGTGTTATACTCAAGTGTGACAGACATAAGATAAATGCATGATTAAGACTAAGATTTACAGTATACAGTATATTGATGATTTTCATTGTCATGCATTTATTGTTTTCCTGATTGTTGTTGTGTTTGTTGGTTGATCTGAAGAATATAATCTACTCCATAACATTTCAGAATTAGCTATTGTACTTTTTATTCAACAGATACAGTTACCTGTAACTTTACAGATTAAGATTTTACATAAAAAATTATGATAGCAAAACTTATAAATACAATGCATTGATAAGGATTAAACCATGTAGCTCTCAAACATTTTTGGCTTTCTTCTTCCTTCCTCTCTCATTAGTCATTTCATGACCCCTCAAGATTTATCTTGTGACCCTTTGGAGGGGCCCACCCCAAACGTTGGAAGTACTGGACTACCCAACTGTAAAGTAAAAATGACTTCACCTCAGCAACACACTAAAACACAAAAAAGTACATTTTGCTGATGAAAAGTTATGTACTTTTACTTAAACAGGATTTTGAATGAAGGACTTTTACTTGCAATTGAGTATTTTTACTAATTTTTATTTGACACTGATATTTTTACTACTTCCAAACATTGGCCACAATGTAAAGATACTCCATTAAAAGTGAATTTGAAATGGTGCCAGTCGTCAGTTACTAAGGTATTAACATGTAAGCAGTATTTAAGTGTTGTAGGTGTGCGAGTTGGAGCAAGTTTTAACTTTTGTATAAACTCTTGGCTTGCTTGATTTACAACATTGTATCATATTTGAATCTCCCAATAGGTTTTCTATGTAAAATCTTAATTTGAAGTGATGGGTAACTGTGGCTGTTAAATAAATGAAGTGGCATAAAAAGTACAATATTCTCTGAACTCTGAAGTGGAGTAGAAGTGTTATGTAGTAAAAAAAAAGTACTCAGGTACAACTACCTCAAAGTTGTACTTAAATACAGTACCTTAGTAAATGTTCTTACGTTCCACCACTTTTATTATAGTTAATTTTGTTGCTTACTGACAACTGTGACAAATGGTAAACAATACTAAAGTGTATTGTTCTGCATCACTGTCATTGCTGCAGCTATTTTAACCAACCTCAACCATTAGTGAAATGTATTCCACAGTCACCATGACCTTAAATGAGAAACATCAGTGCAGTCCTGTATGAAGATCAATCTCAGTTTCAGTAAATGTGGGAGAGTTTATGAGTCAATATTACAGCAAATATGTTTAATATCTGGAAGAAAGGCACTTGGAAAACCCATTCACCTCATTATCCATCATTAGTAACTGTACACACTTTTCATCCATGGAAACTACATGAAGAAAAAGCTTCCTGTTTTTTTATTTGTGTAAGGAAATAAACTGGTCACAGCGGACACATTCTAACTACTTCCTCTACATAGGTGTCTACAGTAATTTGACTGTTGACTTATATGTCTAATGTTGCGACGCTGGACACTTCTGACAGACCTTTTCACCCCTGTTCCCTTTCTGTGTCTGTCTTGGTGTACGCTGAATTTCTCTGAAAGTGGATAAGGACTTGTTTGTCAGCAGGCTGTAGAAATCCAAAATGGCCATCACTGATAGTGTGCCCATTGAATCAGTGAAGACAGAGCGCTTCACAGAGCATTTAGACTTCTTTTTTTTCCTAATGCATTACATAATTTTAAGTGTTTAAAAAAAAGAGATTTTTGGATGGATTTTAGGCGGTGAGAGAGAGAGAAGATGGGGAGAGGTCGTTACTGGTTTTTAGTGAACACTACTTTCTTATACTGCAGCACAGACTGGCCTCTCATGCTCTGCTGCATGATGGGACAGAGAGCCAGAGTCAAACCAGCCACACAGGGCTGTCTTGCAGCGACCAGGGCCAGGCTGATGCTGGGAACGACTCAATGAGAAGCAAAGCGAACTGTGGGATTATGGAAATCTATGTAAGGCTTGTTTCATACCTCTGATGACTGTGTGTGGTTTCTGTGTGAGGCAATGAATACATTCACCTGATGAAAGAAAAACGTTGTGTGTTATGTGTTATATTCTTCAAATGAGAAAAATTAGATTTACATTTGATGCTTTCTATACACCAACTATTTAATTTAGGATTACAGTAAATACAATCAGAGGGAGGCCTTGAAGTGGCTTTAATAAGTGTTATAATATAGAGAATATAGAGAAAAGAGAATAAATGTCTTAATTTCGCTTTTTGCCTACAGCACACTACTATCTGATGACCTCCTGATTGCCTTTTCCCTCACATTTCCACTGTCAGCCATAGAGACCATTGCTGGTCTAGATATATCGAGTGTATGTGGGAGTGCTACAGTCTGCAGTCTTTATATTACACCCAAGGGAGAGGTCGTAATAATATAACTGAACCAACAGCGTCCATAAGTTTATATCATGACGCTGCTTGTTTTAATGTTCATTTTAAATTATCTTCACAGAGTCTCCACAATAAGGAAACAATAATGTACAGCAACCTCTCCTTGTTTATAGACTGGAAAATGTAAAGGGATAATGCACAGTCTGTGGTTACATCTCCATGCTGCAAAAGAGTAACCGCAGCCAGCCAGGGAAACCTCTTCTCCAGTGCTTAGTCTGACAAAGAGGATCCAGAGGAGGCAATTAAACCTGAGCTGAGCTGTGACTCAAGTTTATAAATGATCCTTTTCATTTAAACAGACAAAAGCAATGGAGAAATCATTTGCATATGAAGAAAGAGATGGAGCGCTGTGGTATTAGTATTAATTAAAAAACACAACAGATTATTTTTAGGCATAATAAAATACTATTTTACACTAAATAATAGTATTCCCATTTTCTGCAACTTTTTACTGACACTAAATTTCATCTATAGTCTCTGATTCTAGGGAAGACTGAGCATGTTATACATAATGTCACTATGACACAACGACAAAATGATCGACCAAACAGTAAATTGTGTATTGCACAATTTAGACAGGTAAGCTGTAGCACACAGATCGCAAGTTGAACAATAAAATAATTTCGAGTAGCCTGTCTCTGCTGTCCTCAGGGTGTATGTTGGATACACATTACTGTCCAAAGTTTGGACACACCTATCCATCCATTGGTTTTTCTTTATTTGACTACATTACAAGTAGAGGAAATCAGAATCTGAAGACATCAGAACTATGAAATAACACATATGGAGTTATGTAGTAAACAAGTGTTGATAAAACAAACAAAATGTTTCATATTTTAGATTCTTCAAAATAGTCACCATTTATCTTGATGACAGCTTTGTACAATATTGGCATTATCTTAACCAGCTTCATGAGGTAGTCACCTGTAATGATTTTCAGTTAACAGGTGTGCCTTGTTAAAAGTTAATTGAGTGGAATTTCTTGCCTTCTTGATGCGTTTTAGACCATCAGTTGTGTTGTGTCGTGGTGGTGTTAGTATACAGTAAAAAGCCCTATTGGACAACTATATAAATCCATATTATATCAAGAACTGCTCAACTAAGTAGAGAGAAACGACAGTCCATCATGAAGGTCAGTCAATACGGAAAATTCCAACAACTCTGAATGTATCCTCAAGTGTAGCTGAAAAGAACAGCCTCAGATATCGCCAGTTAACAGCACTTCAGATTAGTCCACATGAACCCTTCACAGAAAACGTATATTTCTTGACGCAGCAGCGCTGCAATGCACCAGTTTAGCCGCTAGATGGAAGTGACGACGCTGCTTCAAAACCCCTAAACTTTATGTATAAAAGAAAAAAAAAAGAGGTGAAGAGAAAAGGAAGGAAGCTAGCATCAGCGGCAGCGGCAGTGACCGGGTGTGAACTTTAGCGGGTAGCTCACAACTTTACTGTGGTTCACGAAAACAAGAAGAAGAAAAAAAGAAACTAAACTCCGGCAGCAGCAGCGGCAGCAGCAACAGCAGCAGCAGCAGCAGCAGCAGCAGCTTCCTCTCAGCTCAGTCCAGCCCAGGGGAAACGAGGAAGTGAACAGCTGACTGACTTCCATTTGTTTTCCGCCGGTAAGTCCCGTGGATTTGAAGACTTTTGTGTTGCCCCCTCACGGCGTGGCTGCGACGGAAGAAAAGTTGGATTTAGCTGATGTTTCGGTGGAAATACGCAAAAGCAGGCAAGCTCTTAACGAAACTTTCCCGTGTCTGTGAAAAGTGGTGTGTGATGAACAGGCCGACGCACTGATTCATTTATGTGTGTTTAGTTCGGTTTATTTCTCCCGGAGGAGCCGTGTTTTACTACCAGACCTCCATCTGACTCATTCATTGTGTTTTATAGTCAGTTAAAATGCAGGTTGTGGCTTCAAACACCTGTGACGTGTGGTGCTGATACAGTTTGTATAAACCACCAAAAACTACTTAAACCATGAAAGCTTGTTTGACCACTTTCTGAATGTGAGTTTAGTTTATACTCATAGTAATAAATGAATGACACTGGGAGTGTTTAGATATTGTGTGTATGGCTGCCGAGGGTGGGAATAGGCTACATGTGTGCCCCCGCCCCCCATCATGCACCGTCATTAGAGCTGAAACAAGTGGTCGATAATCGATTAGTTGGGCAACAAAAAGATATTCCACTACTACTTTGATAATCAATTAATCTTTTCAGTCATTTTTCAAGCAAGAGTTGTGAAACAATGCCAAATATTCTCTGATTCAGCTTCTAAAAAGACAGGATTTCTCTCCTGGACGAGCAAAACAAGGCAATTGAAGACTCCTTGTTCTGCCCTACTGAAGTTTTGATAGGTATTATTGATGTTTCATTCACAAACCGATAACAGCAGGTTTATCAATAATGGAAATAATTGTTATTTGCAGCCCAAATTCTCATATCAATTTAATCTGCTGATTATTTTCTCCAATAATCGTGTGTGTGTGTGTGTGTGTGTGTGTGTGTGTATGTATATATATGTCTGATTTTTGTAAATCAAATTACTATCATAACATGCAAAGGTGAACCATCACTCTTGCTAATCTAAAACAAACAAAGGCATTTTTTAACTTTTGATGACATCCAGCTCTTGTTGAAGTCGAATGCACGTATTGTTAGTAACTTAATGTAATGTAATGTAATGTGGTCAATATGGTCAGTGCATACAAACTGAATAGTTCCAGCTATTATTTTGGGGAAGATATATCCTGCTGTGATCTATTCTTCTCCTCATTCATAAATTGTACTTCCAGTGTTCTGGTGCTGAAATTTTCACCTTTGTACCATATTTATATATAAACCCCATCAGCTATATCTGTGTTTATATTCCTGTTTATCCTCTGTTTTGCTACTGTTGCATCTTTTTATTGTCTGCTGCTGCAGCAGCCCAGATTCTCCCGAGGGTGCCATTAAAGTTTCATTTTATTGTAATCCTGAAAGCTGTATGCCTGGCAAAAGTTATTTATCAGAAGCTCAGAGGCAGGAGAATACAGTCATGTATCTTTCCATGCTCCATAAATCATCTTGTTAACCTTGCAGTGGTTTCATCTGCCACAGTGAGAAATATTTGTGTTGATGAGTGGGAAGTAATGGGTCTGTTTTGCAGGGCCTGCGGTGCACCAGCAAGCCGATTATGGCCTCTGTTTTCAGTGATGATGGCAATTTGTATTTGCAAACAAAGCTAATTTCTCCAGTGCTCAGTGCATAATGAATTTATAAGCTTGTAGAGCCAGCGCTAACTGTTCTCCCACTGCTAGTTGTATTCTGATAACATCACCAGCATGTTATCTGACTCTTAAGGGTGATAATGTTTTCTTATAGCTGATGTTAGTGTCACGTCTCAATAACTTTATGCACTTCAGCAGTGAGTTTTATTGGATATAATAATTAACCGTTTTGTTAATGATTTAATCTTGAACTCCATTTAGATAACAAGCTGCTACTTTATTCAGCATCAACGTCGCTCCAGTAGAAGGTTGTGATACTGGACATAGCAAAATGCATTGTCTATTAAATTTCTTTCAGAATAAAAGCCCGAATCACAAATGTGTCATAATATAATTCATAATTTCTTTTTCTTATTCAATCTAACCACTAAGTATAACTGACAGAAAAACCGTTGCCATTTGCAGTGTGTCATGATTTTTTGTAATTTGCCAGTCAATCAGGGAAATGGTGATTATGAATAGGATCTAATGACCAACTCCTCCCCGTCATAAACACAACACTGGCTTCCTGTGGCAGACAGTCTCAAAGGTTAAAAGCCTTTTATTGGAGACATGTTGTTGATCTCCAGCCCTGCGGCGATGATGGAGGTAACTCATCCATGGTTGAAGGCCTGCAGGTGACAGCTGGAGATGTTTTTAATCAGGCTGCTAATTTATTCATGGGGGATAGAAGGTTTTATTTTTCTGCAGGTGAACAATACAGATGGCAGAGAGGAGACAGTCCAGCACAATGATTTTTGTCTGGTTCCCCGATCTGTCTCATTTGTTTTGTCCTCAGTTAAAGGGACATCAAGTAATTTATGATGTTAATCAGCCTCTGTTGGCATCCACTAAATGACAACATCACCTGCGAGCCCTGGGCACAGCTTGTGTCGGCCCATGATGGACAGAAATATGAAAGTCATACTTTCCTGAGATAAAACTTTGAAAAACAATCATTGTCGGTGGGTGTTGTTTGTCGTTTTTATATACCAGTCCAGTGGGAATATGGAAGTTTAGTTTGAGAAATATAGTTTGACCCAACTAGCTTTTTGAGGCCAATACTGACATTGATGTATGAAAGTTTCAAAAATCTGATAACAATTTTTTTAGCAGAAAGAAATGCTTTTCATAACCGTATAACATTACATTCTTGAGAAGAATCCCTTGAATTTGTATTTTTAAAGGAGCTATTTGTAAGTATTGCTATTGCTACATAGCCAGTGTAAGCATTAACAGCTTGTTACTTACCAACAGCTGTCTGCAGAGGTGTAAAGCAACACCAATTTTAACCCTTGTCTCCATCACATCTTTTCTTCTACTGAGGTTAGCATGCTAACCAGCATTTGTCAATTTCAAGGTACTGTAAAAGGACTTTGCCTAAATGAAAAGTAAAAAAAATCCGAAGATGTCCAATCAAAGAACTAAGATAAATCTAAAAATCTGACCAAGCATCAGTGCCAGCTGAACAGTGACAGTTTCTGACACTCAATTATATGGGCTCATTTTGATACCCAAGTCCTTCTCAAGCAGCAGACTCCTTTCATTAGTAATTAAACAAATACTGTGCAGCCAAACAATGCTCCAATCCACAGAACTTTACTTTAAATTCTAGTCGAGGTCCCAGAGTTTACAAAGATACCACACTGGGGCTGAATTTTGTAGAACGTGTCTAAAATTAATGCACAACTCATGTAGAATATTTGCTATTAAAAACCTGCGACTTGACTCGGTATAAAAACACATCGTTTTAATGAAGAACTGAAACAAGCTGATAAATGATGCGATCAGACAGAGTGGTATGAGAAGATTTTTGTTTATTTCTGTTTTAACACTGTTGAGTTACAAAGAATAGCAACCTTAAAGCTATATTAGGGGAAATCTGAGTGTAAATGGTTAAAAGGTATTTAGGTCATATACCCATAGCCCTTATAATGGTCATACTGGTACCACCTGTTACCAAACTACAAGTATAATACAATGGAAGTAGTGTTACCCAAAAAGAACAGTAGATTATTTTTGTTTTCAGAATTTATTTCACTGCACAGATTGAAAATATTGTATTTATAGGACATGGCTCAGATATATAGATGTTGTTACGGTCATGTTCAGTTTTATTTTGTCAGAAGTTTTACCATCTTCTTGATCTGTGACAATGAGTGGTAAGACTTGTGTATGCACCATGCATACCTCCCAAATCACCAAATCAGCTGTAAGAGGAATTTATTTTCTGGGGAAATGTTCCTTCAGCCACAGTGCACCTGGAAAAATTATAGTGGCAGGCCAAGTTGAACTATCAGTGCTGTTGCGTCATGTGCAATTGAATGCTAAGTGTTTTTCCTCTCCAGCCAATCATGGCACCAGCTGATTTCATTGCTGAAAGTTATTTTAATCATTGCATGATTAAAAGCAGCTGGTGTGAAGTGTTTGCAAATAGGTGTTTCCACCCATCCTGCAGCGTTGTCCTCGTAGCGCTTTGTCGGCTTATCCTGGCAGTAGAGTAAAGTTCATGTCCTTGGTGTAGTAAAGACTGAATAAACTCAAGCTCACAGCAGTTATAGGTATTTATTTACAAGTTTATCTCTGTTAGTGTTCTTCGACCCCGGGCTGGCAAGAAGTCTTCCACTTGGTTTAGTGCAGCCTGTCATCGCCTCAGAGGTTAGTAATGATGAGTTGTCTTTGGGTAGCGTAGCTGGCCCATGGCACCCAACACTCGTGCCTTGGCTCCACCCCTCACTTCCCATTTGCCCCTCACCCACCCCTCCTCAGGACGCAGTTATTTTTGGGTACCAAGGTTAGGCTGGGTCGTCTGTTGTGAGACTCGGTTCAGGTATGTCCTGGCAGAAAGTCCAGGACACAGGAAGACGAGTCGGCTCTGTAGCAGCCAAATCGTTTCATGTTGCCAATTAAGTAATCTGCGCTCTGTGTGTGAGTGGAAGTGACTGTAAATAAGTTCTTGTAGTCATTCAAAGACTGCGTGCAGAGCACAATCGGCTTCTGGTCCATCATGAGAGGTGATATGATCTGCCCGTCTGTTTCTGGAGCCTTTTCCCCTCGAGTCAGCTGTTTGCTGTAGATGGTGGGGTGAGGGTGGCGATGTTGTTTGAAGGGGGGAGTTGGACCATACCGATGAGAGGCACATGAACTGGCTTTGACTGTGTCTCATGTTTGTGGACACACTGCTGTAAAGTAGCAAGCTTCTGCTTTTTAGCTTAGCTTTGTTTCACGCCTCGCTCTTGGTCTTTGGCAAAGTTACAAGAGAATGACGTAACAGCTTTGTTTCTTTATTGTGTGGTATCAGGTCACAGATAAGCAGCGACCACAAACATCCACTGTAATAAATGCACTGGAGCTGCAACTGTTTGGTGAAATCTGACCACTGTTCACAGTTTAACAAATGATTTCGCCTTGATTTTTGTCAAGACAACCATGGTCTCCTGATTTTAATAAAGCACTAACATCTGTTGGTTTGGTGTGTGTGATTATGTAACAGCTAACTGTTCACTGATGACATTTTTCATATATTCTGGAAATTGTTTCAAGGAATAGAAAGCTAATACAAACAGGACAGTTACTCAATGGATTATTTTATTCTTGCATCTGTTTTATCCTATTTCTGTGAGTTTTCTTGGGAGACAGTGGAAACTGAGTCTCTAGGGATTATGGTATTAGAAGAGATAGATAATAGAGGTTCATGTTTCATAATATGACAATTCTACATTGATATTCCCTCCATTTATCAGTGAATATTAGTTTTATTGTACTTATAGAATTACTAGTTTTTGTGCATTCAGTGCATTTTAAATACTCGTGACTTATACTCTTACTCTTGACAAACAAACAGTGTTGAATCCTTACTAACTGGGCAGGGAGAGTTAATGAATGAATGAGAGGCTCTTGATTTGGTGTGATTATGTCCGCAGCCAACAATTATTTTCATTACCAATTAATCTGCGGATCATTTTCTCAATTAATCAATTAACTGTTTTTGTTTATAAAATCAAAAAAAAATATTGAAAAATGCTTGTTAAAATTCTCCAGAGCCCTTAAGATGTCTTCAAATGTCTTATTTTGTTCTTACAACGGTCCAAATTTTCTGTCGACTGATAGATGAATCAACTAATTATTGGAGCTCTAGATTTGATTTCAACTTAAACAACTGAAGTCCAGAGGAAATTATGCAGTTATTTATTTTAAGATTGAATAATTATGATAAAAAAACATCTGAAAAGTGAAATGCAAACCAGGGTAACATGAACTACTTTAATGTACAGTACACAATAGAGACACGGCCTGGCTCCTCTTCAGGCCCTGTCGCCACGGCAACATCAAACAGCAGCAAGGACTCTTTAGAAAATTAAATGTGCTGAGTGAGCAGCAGGCTAACGTGGAGTAGATGATGATGATGTTGTGTATAATAAGACAGTTTGGTGTGTGTGTGTGTGTGTGTGTGATGTCACAGAATTCTGTGTTAGAATTCTGTGACATCATATTGATCTAGAACTTTGGTATCAAAGCCACATTAGAACGTATCCTTCCATTGACTGTGCATACAGTTGGCAGACACACTGTGGACCTGGTAGGATTGATGAGAGCTGTACTTCTGAGTTTTACCTCCTCAGTGAAGTTTTTCTTCATGGCACATGGAAAAAAATCCATAATTTATGGAAGAGGAAGAATACATGTTTGTTTTTTTTTCATCACTGTCATGATAAAGCTTTTGATAATTGGCTCAAGTTTTGCTGGTGAAATTGGTAAAGACTTGCAGCAGGGAGATGCAAGAACTTCTTTGACACAGCCAACTGTCATTTTGTGTGTGTGTGTGTGTGCTGCATATATCTGGCATGTCTGTAAAGATAACCCTCACTATGGATTGATGAATGTGTAAGCTGCTATCATCTGTCAATATTTCCCCCGTCAACATTGCAGGTGTTCTTTCTATCTTCACTTAAAACTTGAGTAACATTTTCTCTTGACTCTTGAGTGTTGCAATGACCCAGTTTCCTCCGAAATCAATAAAGCTTGTCTTCTATTGTACGGCTGATGTTACAACCTTATTTCACAAATGGTAGGTGTAGCTCCACTACACCAGCACTGTGGTTACTCAGATATCTGCCAGTGAGTTCACACAGCTGTAACTGTCTCTGCAACTGCCAGCTGTTGTTTAACTTGTCAACTTTTACTCTTTTGTGTAACAGGGTTAACCTGTTTTTAAATTAGTTGCTGAACCAGTTTCTCCTTGTGTTTTGTACCAGGGCAAGAAAAATGGTGTACAGATGTTGACTGTGGAGTCTCCAGACTGGGACATGTTGTCTCTCAGAGCCAGACCTCCTCTGTCCTGACACAGGGAGTTTTACAACCAGGATCCGGACTTGTCTACCTCAACACACGTGGAGTCCACTCCCTCTGTTTTACCTCTTAGGACATCCACTACTCCTTTTCTACCTCAGCACGTACTGTACCCTCACGTAGCTGTTATCAGCCAGCTCAGAAACGCCAACAGACCCTTCACTTTATCACCACGGCTCTCAGGTGTCAGACATCCAGCGATAGTTGACAGGGTTTCTTCCTGCTTCGCTGCCATAATCGCTATCTGACCCCTGTGCTGGGAGGAGCCACGTTACCGCCATGTTACGTGTTGGTCTGTGATGTCCGAGCCCTGTGAAGGACCAGGAGCTGGATCAGGAGCAGAGGACGGAAAGGGGCGGGGTGACAGAGACTGTCCTCGGTTCGTGGTTGGCTGTGAAGATGATGAGCAGGACATGGGTCAAATGGAGACAGGCATGAAGAACGAGATGTTTCGAGAAGAAGAAATGGAGGATGATGAAGATGAGTCGGTAAGTTACATGTGTTAATTCAGGTGTGCACACGGTCTGAGTCAAAGGTTTCCTAGTCCACAGGTGTATAATGAGCTGTACCTTGTACCTTAAGGTATTAAAGGATTGTTTTTGGTTGTTAATAGTTGCCTAAATGTTTCACCTCAAAGTTAATGTCCCCTCTGTAAAATGAGTTGTACTTCTTAACTACTTTGTTTTTCGACATTTTTAACACATAATAGTGTTTGAGATATCAGTCATACATTTTCCACTGACTATTAACCATGGAAAAAGACAAGTTAATTTTGGAACAGAACAGGGAGCTACAGTACTGGTCATTTTTAGGCAATAGGAAGTGAACAGGCAAATGGAAATTTTAAAGAGGAAAGTTTTATTTGGAATTGGACAGTGGAAAAAAAAATAGAGACAGAAATATACAAAGGTTGGTGTGAGAACAATGCAGCATATAAACAACTGTAAGGCCTCTGGTCTGTTGTGTGCTCCTGTAACTATAAAAGGACTTCATGGTAGTGCTGTGCTAGCTGCTAGCTGATATGATTTCCACTCTCCCTTTTGACTCTGTATCCGTCTTTGAACAGTAGCTGATGGTTTGCACATAGAGAGCTGATTCATACATTAACTCACTGCAACCCCTGTGTGGCACAACAGCAAAGCCTTCTCATTAAAGAAAGTACCAATGAACAAAAACTACCTGTAATACTGTGAATCAAATACATGTGGTAAAGAGTGTCTTCTGATAATGTAAGAACTTTTCATATATATTAAAAAAAAATTCAGTTTTCAAAAAATAAATACCTGAATCAATGATCTGACATTAATTAAAAAAAATCAATACACAGCTGTCATCATCCGTCAAATCTTGGCATAAACTGCGATACCATATCTGAAGAAGAACAAAGTCTGTAGCAATGATAGCAGCCCTGTAGCTCATTGCACACCAGATGCAAAATTGATTGATCGCTGAAAAATGGATTGCAAACTGTTTCTGAGGTCATTACCATTAGCAGGCAAACATGTACCTAAATTAAGAAGGTTTTCTTTTTTCATACAGTGGCCATTTTACTTTTGGATTTAACCAAGCTCACAGGGTCAGTGCCACGATTACAGTGTAGTGGCCACAGTTGAAATTGCAGGTCACATGATTATTTTTTTTTTCCCTACACATCCATTAGAAAAAGACTGTGCGGTTCAATTGAAGAAAAACAACACAACAACAACACAAGACCCCCAGGGCTCCTTGAGTTGGTTCCTTTGGGTGCCCAGCCAAAAGGGGACGACCATTTTGGACATGGGTTTCTATCATGTTCATTAATAAAAGCAAAAATCTAATCAGATGAGGGACCCTGGGATAAAATCTTATTTATAGGGGGTCCATGGTCTAATTTTTGTCAGTTTAGGGGTCCTTCATGTGAAAAAGTTTCAGAGCCACTGAACTATGCTGTCCTGCTGTGTTTACTCTCCCATGTACACGGGGAACACGATCTGTTTTTATTACATTTGCTCTGTCTCCTTTATGGCATGTCTCCATCCTCCCTGTCCTCTCCACCAGCCATCAGAGCGACAGATTGTGGTCGGCATATGTGCCATGATGAAGAAGTCCAAATCCAAGCCCATGACTCAGATCCTGGAGCGCCTTTGTAAGTTTGACTACATCGACGTGGTCATCTTTCCCGAGGAGGTGATCCTGGAGGAGCCTGTGGAGAAATGGCCGCTCTGCGACTGCCTCATCTCCTTTCACTCCAAAGGTAAAGCTTAAAGTCATTAAGAGCATCCTCTTGCATGAGGGGAAATGTGTTCTTCACAGGGGTTTTGCAGCTTTTCTAGCTCCACCTGTTATGAGGAGTATATCTGCATGATGAATTTTTAATTGGTTTAACCTCCTCTCTTGTACTCCTGAATACCTGAATGTCATAAAAAATGGTCCACTGCTTTAAAAAAAAAAGTTGTGCCTGATCTCCCTTGAGAGCTGAGCTGAAGTTTATTAAAGATAAAATGAGGAGAGGAGATGAAAATCCACCTATATTGTAACAGTAATGAATAATAAATGCCCTCTCCTTTGTTCTTTGACATGAAGTTTCTGTTTAGAAATTCCGTTTTATGTTGGCAGAAAGAAACGGAAATGAGTGAAATGCCTCCCTGGTGCAGTAACCAATTTATCCTCAGACTGATGGTCATCTGATATTTATTTAAGTTAAACTGACATTAAATTGCCTTTTTTTTATGTAACAGCATATAAATCTGTTAAATAAATTAAATGCTCTGTGTCCCCTTGAGAATTATAAATACCTTAAAAGTCCTACCATATATTAGAGAGTCTGCCAGGTTTGTGTCAGGCAGTGACCAGTTTATGGGAAGGTCTCAATGGGAAACGAGAACCGTGGGACTGGAAATATCTATTTAAGGTTGGTAATTAATTGTACTCCTCAGCCTACCATGTGTGATTTACAGAGGCAGTGCTAGATGAATAAGAGAAATACACCTCTATATATACAGTATAAAGTATGTCCTCTGTCTTAAATGACACTTATGAACACGTTACTGCACACACACATTTTCATTTAAGCATCAGTTCAAACATTAGGTCCAGTTCATGTTTTTATCACTGGCAGTTCAACGGTCAAATAAGGCAAAGGATGAAACCACAGTACAGCATCTTTAAATTTAAGTAATGACTCTTTGTGACTCTGATCTGTCTCTGTGTATTTGAGTCAGAGTTGATCACATGCGACCGCTCTTTTCCTTTCTGTTTTTAATAGAATGAGATTTAATGAATGATTGCACAAGTCCTTTGTTGTTATTGTTGGAAAGAATGAAAAATAATGTTGAATATTACCCACAGACCTGGATGTTTGACACACTCGTAGAGGATTATGGTGAATAAGTGAGCGCCGTGACCTTGAGAATGTATTGAAGTACCTTCCCCACACGTGGTTCTGCAAGCCTGTTCAAATAGTGGTAATGATAGAGGTTCTGTTCCTTGACTTTTCTGTTAATGGAACATTTTTCTGATTCCTTCTTCATGATGGCAGCTGCTGCTCGTACACAGTTCCTCTGAGGCTCTGTTCAGAGTTACATCGAGTGATATGACACCATGCAAATGAGTACCATAGCAAACATGCTGTGCTGCCATAAAATGAGCTACATTGGTCACTTATCTACTGTAGCTCACAGTGAATCCTACTGAAATTCACTGACGCCTGCTAAAAATATGGTTTAAACCTGTTGAAACTCTGCAGGAGAACTGACAGGTTCTAATGCCTTAGGATCAAACTGTCTATCGGGTATTTAGTCAAAATAATGGCAACCAGCACATTAAAGGAAAAGAAGCAATATTCATTTAGAGTCATCACCTCTGTGTAGTCAACAAACAGCATACACTGAACCCAACCTCGATAGCTTTTGCATCAAGTATTTCTGCTTTGGAGATTGATGGGATGGAAAACCATCAGCTCAACCCTCTCAGGACACAAACCATCAAGACCACTGTTCGACCACTCTTGCCAGGACACTGTAAAAACTAGTGTAGTGAAGCAAACTCAAAGAAACAACCAAAATACTGAGCCAGATATGGACCCAACCACTATTTTGCCAAAAATCAGGCTACAGAGAATATCAAAGCAGTAACGTATGTTCATGAAAATCCTTATTACTTCAGTTATTTGTAAATGTTGGCTGAGCTTTGATTGTTGAACATGCTGTATGGGCTGATACACTTTTTTTTTTTTTAATCTGTGTGACACTTTTTCAGGTTTTCCTCTTGACAAAGCTGTGGAGTATGCCCAGCTTAGGAATCCACTGCTCATCAACGACCTCAATATGCAGTATTTCATACAGGACAGGTACGTTCTGAGCTGTAAAACGCACACAGCCTAAAACTATAAGACTTGTAGAAAGTAAAGCAATCCTCACTAGTGCTGTCTTACACATCACTCTTAGTCACGTTGTATCAGCCCCTTGAGACGGGCACCAGTGTCCGTTTTGAACACCACCTGTACTTTTTAGAATTTCATCGTTTTCTCAACGAGTGTTTATAAGTCAGTTCTTTAACAGTTGTCTGATGATTCCTTGTCAGGAGGGAAGTGTACCGGATCCTACAAGAAGAGGGCATTGACCTACCTCGTTATGCTGTGTTAAACCGAGATCCCGACAATCCTGAAGGTGTGCAAGAGTTCTTATTTTATATTCAATATGTTTTTATGGATGAACTCTTCTTCTTTATGGCAAGCTAAACACGATAGTATATCAGCATACACAGCCTCAGTAACCAAATAATCTATGAACCAGTGTAAGCAACATTCAAAGTAACTGAGTTTGTTCGTCACTATTTTTATGTCATCCTCTTATAAATGCAAAACTGTGGCAGTAGATACTGAAAAAACAGCAATGTTGTTTATTTATTATTTAGTTTTTGGCCAGGTGCCTGTTGGAAAGTAGATAGTGAATCTTACTAGATGTCCAGATTAAATAAGGATAAATAAAGGGAATGAATGACTGAAAGGCACAGTGAGTGTGTCGCTTGCTCTCGTTTTAAATATTCAGTGTTGCATTGCAGCTTATGTTAGACTGTAATGTAATTGCAATGGTGGTTGAAAAATTGATTGTACGTCATATAAAATGTAAACTTATTTGTGCATTGTCATTGTCTGTATCATCACTGTTGCTGCTTTGCTTGGGAATATTTTGGGGTTATCTGCTAAAATTTGTCCATATGCAGAGTGTAACCTTGTGGAGGGGGAGGACCATGTCGAGGTGAATGGGGAGGTGTTCCCTAAACCCTTCGTGGAGAAACCTGTGTGTGCTGAGGACCACAATGTCTACATTTATTACCCAACCTCTGCTGGAGGAGGCAGCCAAAGACTCTTCAGAAAGGTAGGAACTCAGTAACAAAAGGTTCAGTCGCTGGCAGATACTTAGTGTGAGCTTCATCGACGTCCTGAACTCCTGCTTCCTTGTTCTGACTTCTAAACTGTGATGTGATACAACTTAAATAGGTCACAATGATATACACTATTTGTAGTAGGGCAATCAGACAGTGGCACAAAAACATCAGTGGCACAAGTGAAGGTTGGGTAATGAGGTAAAATTCAAATTATTTGAATTCTCTTTCTTGGTGTCTCTGCTGTAGATAGGGAGTCGTAGCAGCGTTTACTCCCCAGAGAGCAGCGTACGAAAGACTGGATCCTACATCTATGAGGAGTTCATGCCCACAGATGGTACTGATGTGAAGGTACTGTTCACTTGGCCATTGATGCAGGTTTTTAATTTCTGGAACTGATTCATGCACTAGTGACTGACGCTGAATCATACAGTTCAGCTCAGTGAAATATAGATATCATTATCATCTGCTCTGAGACAATTTCTGTGTCTCTGGACATCTCAGGTTTACACAGTGGGTCCAGACTACGCCCATGCTGAGGCCCGAAAGTCTCCTGCTCTGGACGGAAAGGTAGAGAGGGATAGTGAAGGGAAGGAGATCCGCTACCCCGTCATGCTGACCGCCATGGAGAAGCTGGTGGCCCGCAAGGTCTGCCTGGCATTCAAGGTAAACTTCAGTCACCATGTAGGAAATGTAGTTAAGCATAGTGTGCAAAGAAAAGAGATTAGGTTGAGATTAAGTTCATTTGAGTTTTTTTTGTTGTTGTTGTTTTGAAAACTGCATTATTTATGAGTGTATGGTCCTTCTCTTACGCTTGCCATACAAGCCATTGGTGTTGGAAACACTCCACTAGGTGCCTTTTTTATGTGCCGAAAACACAAACATTGCATCTGACTGTAAGATCTTGTGCTATTAGCTCGTTTTAGTCAGGAGAGAGTCTTTAAACCAGTTACTGAAATACAGTTGAGGAGCCTCCATGTGGACAAACTGTTGATATTGAGTATTTCCTAACATAAATACACTTAGTGAATAGAAGCAGCTAGAAACATTTTTCCTGAACCTTGCTACCTTCAGAATTATTCATATCACACTGCTGTGACCAACATTTATACAGTCCGGCAATCAGCAAACATAAAAAATATCTCTGATGCTGACTCGGTGTATTAAAAAAAAAACACCCTTGATTCCCAATAAAAACAAATAAAGACGACCAGAGCACAAGCCAGAGAAAATGATTATTGAGAAGGTCCTTGTATGGTCAACACACCTCTGAATATTTAGGCCCTGTGTATTGGACAGTTTTCACAAAGGCAAGTTGTTATCCTTAAAATCATTTGAGGACATCTGTGTTTTTCACTGGTTTATGTCAAAATGTTCACCTTATTCAGAAGCTCTGATTATAATCATGTGCTCCAGACCTCATCCCTCCAGATCCTTAGTCTGTTTTCTCTGTTCTGTGTTTATAGTCATGTTGTTACCTCATTCTGATTAAAAACAGACAGTCATGTCTCAAACTGTTTTCTGCTCCATATTATGGCTAAAAACACAGTATCTGATGAGTCTGTATCAGCACTTAAACCCAGTGTGTGTGTGATTTTTAGCAAACGGTGTGTGGGTTTGATCTGCTCAGAGCCAATGGCCACTCCTTCGTCTGTGACGTTAACGGTTTCAGCTTCGTCAAAAACTCCATGAAGTACTACGACGACTGTGCCAAAGTCCTGGGGTAAGTGACATCATCTCACACACTGTTAAACACTGACCTGTAACTTTTCTACTGCATGAAACACTTTGATTACTTTGAGTGTAATATTGAAATATAATATTTAAAACAGTTTATTGCAGACATAATAGGCGTTTTGTGTTGAACCATAAGCACAGCTTGTCAGTAAAGATCATGTCATATTATTGTGTAGCTGTAGCAGCAAGTAATGAAAAGAAGGAACACTCCCGTGAGGCCAGACCAAAGCCCTCGAGGAGCAAACATAATGAAACGACAAATTAAAGCTTGGTTTTAGTTTACTTTTACATGTTTTCCTGTTTGAAAAGTCTTTTCTGTGTTTAATGAAGAAGCATCTTCTTTTTGGCTAGACTGGCTTTGAGTGACTTTTTGGACAAACCATAGCTACTTTCTGTAGAAGAGAGTCTCCAGTATCGCCCAGCAAATGGCTTGGAAGTGACTGCTGGTTAACATGTAGTCTTAATGTGCTGTGTTTCAGTCACTTTTTCAAACTTGTTCCATTGTCTGACAACAGAAACACAAAAACATGTAAGTGAGAACAGCTTTATTGGGAATTCAGCTGTATAAAAAATAATGTGTGCGTGAGCACAGAGAGGAGGAGCGAAGCAAACAGATAAAGGGCTGAAACCAGCTGACGCTAGACTGAATGCAAATTTGATACGATGATGTTGTGAATATGCTAATTAGTGTACTGCATTATTTAGCAACATTTAGCGGCTTTTCTAGCAGCTATAGCTAGCTTAGTACTTGTTTACTTGGTTGGGCGCATACCACTCAGGCTCAGTGCTTACCCAGGTGGCCAGGGTTGGAATCCAGCCTGGGTCCTTTGCTGCATGTCGACCCCTCACTCTCTTTAGCCCAACTTGGACTCAAAGATGAACTCATTAGATTTTGGTGGTCAAAGGTCAAGGTCACATGTTTTGGCCACAAATCAAGACTTCATTTGCTAATTATGACACAATTTAACACAAATGTTGAATAAGATAAAATAATGAAGTGATGACATTTTATATCCAATCCTTTTTCCAATCCTCCAACGTTTATATTAAATCTTGCATATTAATAATTCTTATTCTAGTCTTGCTGTAGCTTTAGAGTAAATTTTGCCTTGAAGCTGTCAGTTGTTATTGATTCAGAGCTCCAGACAGCTCAGAGGATGCCGTTGTCAGCTTTATATCTTAGTTTGTTTCTGATTTATCACCTCTCCTTCCAGGCAAAGTAACTCAAGCTTTATGACTACACACTCATAAATTTTACACATAGAAAGACAGATGAAAGCTTCCCTCCAATAACAGACACTAGCATGAACATAATTTCTCAAGATGTGATACTCAGGTGGCAGGAACTCATTTCTTTCAGGCACAAAACGGGGAGGAACACTAGAAACAAACAAATATTATGAAAGTACTAGTTTTTAGTTGATTTACTGTAGTTTGTATTATCTAGCCTGCTGCATCTTGGGAGCGACATGTACATGAACATAGCTTTTTGGATTATCTTAATGTGTCTGGTTTCTTTTGGTTGCATATAACACATCTTAGGTGAAATCTGAGACACAGCTTTAAAGCTTACTTTTGCTTTGTATTTATTTTTTCCTTCTGTGATATTGACCTCTTTAACCTGATTCCTTCTTCCTGCTTTTCTCTGCTTCCCCAGGAACATGGTAATGAGAGAGTTAGCCCCCCAGTTGCACATCCCCTGGTCCATCCCCATGGAGGCTGAAGACATCCCCATCGTCCCCACAACCTCAGGAACCATGTACGTACTGATAAACAAAATCTGGAAAATATGTTGATCAAAAGACTACTGTGCATATGATACATGACATACGAAATATGACCTTATACAGTACTGTATGTCTTTAAAAGATTCATAGTTTAAGTGTTTTTGATAATAAACAGATCGTGAAACATGCACTATTCACGGTAGCAACCAAAATAAAATAAAAGCTGTTCAATTTTAAAATGTATTATTTCAGCCTAATTAATTTACTTAACACTCATTTCAACAATCCTGTGGTTATCAGTTATTTTATACCTTAAATAGTACCAGTTCTGATACTGTAAATTTCCAAGGCAGCAGAAACTTTCCTTTGACAAATAAAGTCAGGGAGAAACAGCCCTCACACATTAACACAGAGAAATTCAGGATCACTGACCCACTGACCTCTTAGCATGCAGACACTCAGTCCTCACTAAATCTGAAATCTCATCTCTCTCGCTGGTGTCAGTGACACTGGATGATGAAGCAGCGCGTTTTTCAGGGTTGGTAAAGTACTTAGAGGTGGTTTGCTGAGGTGAAAAGTGAAATACCTGAGTTTGTGTTGCATTTTAATCTCATTCCAAACCCCTCATCTAATTTCTGCAGGATGGAGCTGCGCTGCGTTATTGCCATCATTCGCCATGGAGACCGCACACCAAAGCAAAAGATGAAAATGGAGGTCCGACATCCTCTGTGAGTATCTTCCATTCAGCATTAAGATGTTTCTCACTGTTAATACAGCTTTCAAATATTCAGTGTGCAGTCACATACACAGCACTGAAGGACTAAAGGCAAAAACACATCCCCACTGGCTCTTTGCTTTGGACAGTTTGCATTTAATCTATTCTCAGGAAAAAAAACTCCATTACGTTTCTGCTTAAGCTGCGTTACCAGTTGAAACTGCTTCACATTTAAGGGGATAAAAACAGTCCAGACTGCTCCCAGTTCATTAGTCTTAACCCACTTTTTTTTTTAATGAAATAATTTAACATTTCCCTCATATACCCTCCCTCAACCCTGCTGTATTATTCTGTCTGTCTTTCACAGATTCTTCGAGTTGTTTGAGAAGTATGGAGGCTACAAGTCAGGGAAGCTAAAGCTAAAGAAGCCAAAACAGCTACAGGTGAGTTTCTTTTTCCCACACTGTCTGCCCTGCCTGTGTCTTTCTGTTTTTGGTAGATTATGAGTGAATCCTTTAAAGAATAACGACTGTTTTTTAGACAGGATATAGTGATGTTTACATATACAATACCAGGCTTCATAATTATTATGGAACATAAACCATCATTGCCTTGTTGTCTAAATATTTAGACTTAGCTGTCTGAGTCTTGTCATCCTGTCACTGTATCATCTTCTATATTATAAAACATTTTTGAAGCTGCTATCTTCACTGTCAGCCTTGTCGTGCACATAATACTCATTCAGGACATTTGCAGAGGATCCAGTGTCTGTTTAGTCTGGATGGTGAAATTAAAGATAAAAAGGCAAATTAAGGATAAGTGCCTCTTTGTCTCCAGGAAGTGCTGGATATCGCCCGCCTGCTGCTGGACGAACTGGGCCAGCACAACGACTGTGAGATCGAGGAGAAGAAATCTAAACTGGAACAACTCAAGACTGTCCTGGAGATGTGAGTGATACGTCACATCAGATGCACAACCGACTCACAACAGCACAAACACACCACCACAACACACACATCGTGTGTTACATCCCACTGCTCACACACAACACTATTATGTCAACACACACACACACACACACACACACACACACACACACACACACATCAGTCATCCTCCTGTTTCCTGCCATCATCATTCATCCACTCTCATCTGTGATTCACGATGCAAAACTAGCTTCATCTTTCAACACTCCACCAAGGTTCAGTCATCCCTCTCATACTCACAGCCACACACATGTTTTACTGTGATTCACTCCCTCCTCTCTAGTGTCTCTAACACTTTGCTTTATCTTTTCTTTCCCTTCTCTATCCCTCTCTTCTCCTGCCCAACCATCCCTCCGTCTTTCTCTCCAAAAGGGAATCCAGCTTGAATGACACTCAGTACGCACCCTCTCCCTTCTCATTTTAAAGGATGAGGTTTTACCACCCTCCTTTTCTCTAGTCTTCTTAGACTGTATGTACAAAACATTAGGAACACCTTATCTCTGCCCGACAGAGACCATCTGACACAAACATCAGTATAAACTGGGTGAAGAAGGTAGTTAAGTTGTACTTGGTGCAAGATCAGAAATTTGAGATAATGTTTGGAAGGTATTCGTAATGTTTTGTACGCTGAGTGTATCATTTCCATTAACATCCATTCATTTGTAGCCATTAACACTGGACACATACACAGTCAAATGTCTGATGATTTCACTGTGTTTCTGTGTGTGTAAATCAGTGTGTGCTGTGCTACTTAGTCTTGCATGCCATCCTCACCATGTATCAGCAGGACTCTAAATCTTCTAATGTCTTCCTTCCTCTCGCCTCCCATCAGCATTTATACTAATCGTGGTGATTTGCTGGTACATTTCTTCGCAGAGATAACAGAATAATATGGAAAACCTAGAATATCAAAAGGTTCAAAACCAGAGTAGAAAAAAAAATGTCTGTCATGAAGTGAGTGAGGCTGAAACTACAACAAAACATAAAAGTAATCCACCTCAGTGAGAGATATTTGGTTTGGCATGTGTTTGCCAGCTCATGTACAGTCCTACACACAGGGTTTAGCCACTAAAACTAAGGATGTGAGGATGCTTTCAAAAAAACAACAACATAGTTTTCATATTATTTATTTAAGTGCAGTAGATAGAAAACAAACTAAATCAAATCAATATTTGTTATGACCACCTTTTACCTTTTAAAACAGTTCACTTGCACGCAGTTTTTGGCAAGTAGGTTGTTCAAGGATCTCAGAGATCCTGCCACAGTTCTTCTGTGGATTTAGTCTCTGTGTCTTTTCATGTAATTACTTCACCCATCTTGCAGCTCCTGCAGTGTGGGCTCCAGATTCATTACAGCATCTATCTTCCTTGGTTGGCACTGAACGCAGCTGCACCACTCGTCTCCTGTAGTTATGTTTGTGGTGCTAAGTGCTGCACTATCAGTCGAGTAGTCAGCTGTTGCCATCAGTCTCTACCTCCCAGCATGACTCTGTTGTATGAGCTGGAGTATTCAGAAAAAGAAATACGTATAAAGTTCTAAGAACAGTTCTATTCATGTGCTTCAGACCTATATTCACACTTGTCCCAGACACTGCAGATTTCTCAAAAGACTTCAGTCCAAAGTCAAGAGGATGTGATATGCAGCTCAACAAGCTGGCAAAGCAGTGTAAACAGAACAGTGTTACCACACATGCAGACTGGCCTCTGCCTTTCCAGAGACTGTGAAATTGATCGCTGTGAAGCTGTTTATAAATAAGCTACAGTTTCTTCATAATGAAGAAACATGTCACTCAGTGCAAACAAGTGGCTCATTGATGTGTTTTTAATAGATTTGTTGTTTTTTCAGATTTGTTGACAGTAAGAAGAATAGAGAAAATCACCGCCCCTATCCTCTAAAATATGAGCTCACTTCACACACACACACACCCCCACACCCCCACACACCCACACACCCCCACACACCCCCACACACCCACCCTCAAAACGTCTTTCTACAGGCACGTACATCTCAGAGACTTCACAGCCTGTAACTCTGACTGCTCTCCCTTTGTTTCCCCCTCATTCTCTGCAGACCCCATCCTCAAATGTAAAGCAGCTGTAACAGGTTGTGAGTAATTAATGAGCTGCTGAACAGACAAAATAAAATTACATGCATCACTATGATAAGATCAGTGGAGTAAACCACTGGCATTAGCCCAGCCAATAAAAACAAACCATACTAATGCAGTAAGTCCCAGCTCTAATTCTCTGGCTCTCTGCCAGAGGTATTTATCCTGGTTCAGGGTCCATCATCATGAGGCTTTTCTAGGCGTCCGCTCAGCTGCCTATCCTATTACAGAACACTATGTGGTCATTTAGTCTGCAGCATGTGTCAAATTCTTACTACAGCACAACACGCTGGGCGAGTGGAGGCTCCGCCTCTGTGTGTGACTTTTAAGAATCACAGCAGGATTAGTATTGGTATTGATTATTCACCTCGCACCATTTTAAAAGTTAAACACACGCAGTTACATTTTCTCTTTATTCTCATGTTCTCCTGCCCACACACACGTGCACAAACACACACTGAAATCACACTGGGAGGTCCACTGGAGCTGCTGGTTTTTTGCTGTTTAGTATCTACTGAGTGGCCGAATTATCATGTAACCATCTGCTAATACGGGTACTTGGTTGTGTGTATGATCAGTGTGTCAGATTTAAAAAGTTGTTGCATTGTTCTGTTCTTTTGTTGGAGTGGAAGTGTTAGATATTTTAAACAAAATTGCTGAAGATGGGATAAATACTTTCTATGTATCTATGTGTGCTTTACTGTCTGTTTGTCTGTCTGTGTGCACATCAAAATTGGTTGTCTGCTGTGTATGTGTGTTTATCCCCACCAGGTACGGTCATTTCTCAGGTATCAACAGGAAGGTCCAGCTGACCTACCTGCGTAACGGCCAACCTAAAGCCTCCAGCGAAGAAGAAGGTACAAACAAACTCACACAGAATCAGTTTATATCTATGGCATCTCTTTGTGTGTGTGTGTGTGTGTGTGTGTGTGTGTGTGTGTGTGTGTGTGTGTGTGTGTGTGTGTGTGTGTGTGTGTGGTTTAGAAAGTGATTATTTCTATAAAATAGTGATTATGAATAATGTTTAGTATTTTAATATTCAGGAACATAACCTTCTGCAAACATTGTGAAAAGATAAGATGGAGGAGGAAGTGAAACTATTGATGCAGCTGGTAAAACTCATTTATATCAACAGAAAAACATTAACAAGACACAACCTGGAAAATTTCAATCAATAAAACAGTTTCAGCAAATGAAAGGTGCTAAATTAGTTGATGAAGCAGTCTTTCACTTGTGTTTGATCAAAGTACCACACAGCAAACCTGGGGCTGTTTATTTTACCAACAGAATGCAGTGACAGGAGCTGAAACAGATGGTTAGAAGGAGCAAAGCAGCTTCTTTTGTCTCTGCACACCCAGGCACATTCATCCAGCCACTGCTCACCAGCACCCAAAAAGAAGACATTTAGTTCACTGATATGAAATTAAAGAATTTCTGTGACTTTAAGTCTTCAAATAGTGCTAGTGAACGGACAGAGACGACACCCATGCTTGTGCAGCTTGCCAGATGAAAGCTTGGATACATTTTGAAAGTTAGTGATTACAGATAGGAATAAGACGACTGCTGCTGCTGCTGCTGTTTTTCCAGACTCTAAGAAGGACGGTCCTTCTCTGCTGCTGGTGTTGAAGTGGGGCGGGGAGCTGACACCTGCAGGCCGGGTTCAGGCTGAGGAGCTGGGCAGGGCCTTTCGCTGCATGTACCCTGGAGGTCAAGGTACCAATCAGACAAGCTCAGACACACACACACAAGCTGTTGAAGTACTCACAGGGGATCTTTCCTCTTTGGCTCTGATTTTAAATGAACTTTTTCCATGGTGTAAAATTCTTTGTTTTTTTGTTTGTTTTTGTTTCTTTGCCCTGGAGAAAACTTTTCTAGAACAGTTTAGCTGCAAAAACATGTTATAGGAGACAAGTTGTAGAACACATTCAGATATTTTCCTCTCTTGACTTTTCCTGTGTGAAATTCAGCTCTCAAAACTCCATAAAATAGGAACTGCTTTTGTGTACAGATGCTCGCATGCCCTGAAGGAAGCAAACACACAAACTTACACACATGTTTTTAAGCTAAAACTCACACAGACATCCACCAAGGCACAAAGGTCATTTCTTTTTAAGTTAAAATAGAAAATGATCGTCATAAAGCCTTGACTGTCCTCAAACACGCACCTTTCTTTGCTCACGAAAGTACAACCATCTGCGGTGTCGACACTGTGTAGCTGACGTACAGCAAATCACAGAAGGTTGAAGGTGAGGTGGACTATTTTAGAGTTGTCAAGCCAGATTTGAAGGCTTCGCGCAGCCACTGGGTCTTTTTTTGTATCATTAATTTAGTAGGTGTGATGTTATAGAATTGCTTCTGACAGAAAAGGAAAGGTCCTGATCTCAGGTTGAAATAAATTCTTTAATAACACTTCTTTTCTCCATGATGGATTTCTGTGGGAACAAAACTCGCAGAGGCTTCTGGTAGTTCAGTCACAATAACAGACGGTGTACAGTCTATGTGTAGTACAAGTCAAAGTCTTGTGGGGAAAAAAATATATTTTCTCTTGTGTAAAGCACAAAGTCTGTGGACAAACACAAACGTTGCCTATGTGAGGTCACACATAAGTCACAGAGGGAGTGTTGGGAAACAACAATGGGAAACAAGGTGCTGCCTGGACAGAAGTGAATTTCCTCTGTTTAAACACAACAGTTCCTTCATCTCCTGATAAAGTCTGTGTGACGTGGTCAAAAGCACCACAACCACACCATCTAATTGAATCCAATACAACAGCCCAACCAGAAATTCTACACATATAAAGAAAAAATAATGTTCAATTTTGCTGTAATTGACAAAGGCTGACAATACTGTTGCCTTGAAATAGATACTGTAAAAATATCTATCACATTAGATAATGATATTTAAAAGAGTAACTACACCCAGGATGAAAATACTGTTTGTGCTGCCATCTAGCTGTTGCCACATGTTGTCCATAGCTTGCGCAGTGCAGTACTTCACAGCGGACAATTGTGCAACAAGCACTACATCACATTTGGGAGTGGACTCCCTACCCACACCCAGCTGTGACACTGGGCATTGTTCAGTGTGCAAAAGACAGCTATGTTTTGCCTTTCCTCAATTCAAAATTTACTGTGGAGTTTCTCTTTACTACACACAGCACCTTCACCCTGACCCTTTTAACCAGACTGAAATAAAGGGATTAACTGGACAAACCTGCTGGTTACACAAAAGTCTTTCTCCACTCTATCTCCTCCAGTGGTTTTAAGTGAGGAATACCTCAATGCTTTTTATCGATCACCCTTTTTCAGGCTTTCCCTCTTAATGCCTCGTTTGCATGAAAACCAGCTCCTGAATTGCAAAGATAAACAAGCTGAAGTCGAACGGGAAACATAATCGGTGGTTAGATACAATCTGTCTCTTTCCTGCTTCTTTTTGTATGAAAAGAAGGCTATTCTCTCACCCCAGCCACTGTTTTCATACCTCTTTCTCCAACACAAGTTTTGTCTATTAACTCTGCTCTTCTCTTCTTACCTGTTGTTGCGCTGTGTAAACTACTAGCCGGTAACCGCCGGTCCCTTGGCTGTGAGTCCCCTATTGACTTTGGTAAGAGAAGGGTTTCCTGGATATCACCGCTCTTCCACTGTTTCTCTCTCATTCTGCGCGTTTGTCGCTCCGTCCACTAACGTGCTCTGATTCCTCCTCCTCCTCATCTCATCATGATTTTGTTCCATTTCACCTGGAGGCTAGTCCTGTTTGTCCCACATTGAGATTGCTGTGGATTGTTTGTGTCGTCGTTGATGTGCTCCCGAGTTGATCCACCGCAGCAAATGTTGTTTTGGTCACCTGCTCGTACACACACATGCAGCTAAAGTGACTGCAGTTTTGGTGTTGTAAGCTAACGCGGATCATCTCACACTAATCCTACTGCATTCTTTTTTTATTTTCATGACTTCTTGTTGTTTGTTTGATGAAAGTCAGTATGTTTTAGCCTGGATCAGAGCCTAGGACAGGGGTAAGTCCCCAACATGTACCACATCTTCCTTTGTCAAATATGGCATGTAACCCAAACATCAGGCTAATTGGCTGTAGACTATATGCATGAAGCACCAGTGTGATTTGATCTGTAGCGTTGGTATGCATCCACCTCCTGTAGCTACTTTAAGTACATTTAGCATGTTAAAAGACGTGTATCGTCTTTGTTCTAGTAGGTATTCCAAAGTGTTTGATCTCATCTGCAGGGAAGCTGTCCTCCATTAATTTTTGGGATTTACTCAACATCTGTTCACTTCACTTTCACTTCATATATAGCTTAAACCACACAATTTAAGTTTGCATTTACGTGAGCCAACCATGTAAAAACTGACACAATCTTAGAGGACCATGCATTTGAACTGAAAGTGATGTTGCACCTGCACAGGCGCTGTGTTGCCTGTGTGCCTATTTTTAATGGAATGGAAATCCTTGGTACTTTTGGGTACAATCAACAAACCGTTGTTTTTTTGTTTCTCTTTTCTTTTCAACTACCTCCCCGACTAAGACGTTTCTTTAAATGTGAACATTACTTTACAGTATCTCGGCGCTGTAACAGGTCCATCTAACTGTGATGCTCGACTCTGTGTACGATCTTCCAGGTGACTATGCTGGGTTTCCAGGCTGTGGCCTCCTGCGCCTGCACAGTACTTACCGCCATGACTTGAAGATCTACGCCTCTGACGAAGGCAGAGTGCAGATGACAGCTGCTGCTTTCGCCAAGGTAATTCTGTCTCTGTTACCTGAGAGACTGTACCTCATGTATAACTAACTGATGTTACTTAAGTAAGAACTCTTGACACGTGGAGGATATAATCTCTGTAAAGATGCTTGAGATCCACTTGTTGCTACACCATGTGTTGCTGACAAATGAGTGAAATACTGTGATTCCCAGTATTTGTAATATGTGCTCCCTTTGTAAGCAGGATGCTTATACCATCACCCATGGTGTACAGTATGTTCACGCTGGTCAAAGGTAGTCGGGTAAAAAGTAAAATATTAGACATGTATATCTTTAGGTGTTCTGGCTGCCTCACATCTTTTGCATATTGGACATACTGCGGCTTGAAAGCTTCCCTGCAACTAAGGGTTGTTGTCATTATAAATTAACTTGATGATTATTGATCATTTTATCTGTTAACTGTCTGTAACTGTAACTTGTTTGGTCGAACCAACAGTTCAAAAATATTGTCCCCTTACCTATATGACAAAGAAATCCAGTGAATCTTGACATTGAGATGCCAGAACAAGCAAATGTTTGACACTTTTGCTGAGAGATTACAAACAAATCTTTGATAATTAAAATGGATATTGAATCATTTCATTTTGTTTGGCTAAACAATTAATCTCCTAATCATTTCAGCTCCACTTCAGAGAATATAGAATCTGGTTTGAGAATTTGACAGAAATAAATTACAGTATTTTCAGCATTAAACACCAGGAAATCAGGCTTCCCTGAGTAAATAACGTGATTTTTAAGAGGCTGTAGATCCACACCAAGAAAATTGAAGTGACTCAAAGAGTAAAGGTCCCATACTTTTTCAAAAATCCCAACTAATCTTGACTGTAGCTTAAATAGAAACAGACATGCCCCACAATAGCTCCAGTTAAAGTCCTCTGGTTTCTCTGCAGGGTCTGCTGGCTCTAGAGGGAGAGTTGACACCGATCCTGGTCCAGATGGTGAAGAGTGCCAACATGAATGGACTGCTGGACAGCGACAGCGACTCTCTGACTGACTGCCAACAGAAGGTGAAGGCCCGGCTACATGAAATCATGCAGAAGGATCAGGAGTATACTCCGCAGGACTACGAGAAGGTATTTGTCAAACGTGATAAATCCTGAAATGTAAATTTAAAATGACTTGAATTTGATAAGATATGACTTGTGCAATGTCCTGTTTGCAAGTAATTCTCTGTGAGTTAAACAGCTGGACGTGATTCTCAAGTCTCCATCTCAGAAATATTTCAACTTATCCACAGATAATGTGAATATGTAGAACATTTTATCAGTGTCCTGTTTCCACTGGGCTCCAGTTGGCCCCAACAGGTAGCCCATCACTGGTGAACTCCATGAAGGTCATAGAGAATCCAGTCAAGACCTGTGACAAGGTGTACACCCTCATCCAGAGTCTGACCTCACAGATCCGAAAGAGACTGGAGGACCCCAAGTCTGCAGGTAGCGTGAACCTCCAGTACCTGTGTTTAGATTCAGGTTTGCAGAAGAGAAACTCTTCAGCTGTGAGATCTTTGCTTTGATCTGCTGGGGTTTACCCGCCTGTATCAGACAGATGCAGACAAAGCTAATGTGTCCACGTAGTGATAAGTGAAGCTATACATTCATTAAGTCTCTGCGAAAGTTTGACGCCAACTCATCCTGTGCTTTGCTCCAGACCTGCAGCTTTACCACAGCGAGACGTTGGAGCTGATGCTGCAGCGCTGGTCCAAACTAGAGAGAGACTTCCGCATGAAGAACGGGCGCTATGACATCAGCAAGATCCCAGACATATACGACTGTATCAAATATGACTCGCAGCACAACGCCTCGCTGGGACTGGAGGACACGCTGGAGCTGTTCAGACTGTCACGTGCCCTGGCTGACATAGTTATACCACAGGTTAAAGCATAACACTGGCCCTGCCAAATATAGAACATAATATAGTGTGTCATTTATAAGGTGTAGAAAATAGCATGCTTTAACCATATATAAATCTATCATTTCTGAGTTGTCTGGTAATATAGGAATATATCCCAGAAAGCCAAAGCTGGGGATCTGTTGAAGTCAAAGATTTTAACAAATGGGTCAAATTAGAGAAACGTACCAAGAGGCATTTTGCAGATAATTGTGGTGGAGATGAAACAATTATATTACAGAAAGGAACTGTAATGTTCCCGATGGCAAAATTATAATGTTTGAGCTAAGAAGGTAATAAGATCCTGCAGTAAAAAAGGAATACTTCTGTGCAAATAAGCATTTCATGCTTATTATTATGGGATTATTACTGTTAAACACACCATGAAAACAGTATAAAAAAACTCAAGGAATAAAATCAAGTGACAGAATAAGTTTTTAGGTCATGGTAGTTCTACAACATAATTTTGCAAAGTCACAGAAAAGCTGTTGAATTTTATATTAAGGCCTCCAGGCATAAATGTGTCACTGATAATCTGCCTTCGCCTTGTGATGCTGAAGAGAGTCCAGCATGTTTCCTTGCCTTCTGAGATGTGGTCCATCTCCTCATTACCATGGAGAAGTAGATTAAAACGAAAGTGAAATGACCTTTTCTTCCTCTATATCTTTCACATCAGGAGTATGGAATCAGCAAAGCTGAGAAACTGGACATTGCTCAGGCATACTGTGTTCCTCTGATGAAGAAAATCCAGCTGGACCTGCAGAGGACCCATGAGGATGAGGCAGTTAACAAGCTGCACCCTCTGTGAGCGTAAAAACCACCACTGAAGCACAAACAAGCACGTTAACGTGCAACTGTGTTTGCGTATGTTTACAGTAAATACTGGTGACGTACTGACTGATGAGATCCTGTGTCACTTCCTGTCCCCTGGTGTTCAGGTATTCTCGGGGTGTGATGTCTCCTGGTCGTCACGTCCGGACACGTCTCTACTTCACCAGCGAGAGCCACGTTCACTCCCTGCTCAGCATCTTCCGCTACGGAGGACTGCTGGATGTACGCTCTGCTTTTATCGTCTCTGACAGATCAGTTTACCAGAGTGATGGTGTCTGTTCTTTCTGTGTCTACTGATGATAATTTTCCAGAATAAGAGCAGATCTACAAATTGATGTTTATATCAAGGTTGCACTGACTGCAAGTAGGCGAATGTCCGTAAAGGATGGAGACACTTTTTGGAGTTGAAGTCAGCTTGGTGGCTATAAGGAACATATCATCAGAGGCCTGCAGTTTTCACTTAATGACAAGGAGGGACCACTCGAGTGATTTTTTTTTTTCTTAGCAATTATTTTTATGGATGAGTTTCTTAAAAGCGAAATATGTGATTATTTGTCTTTTGTTAACGGAGGTGACTCTCCTGATAAGTGTAACAGTCCTACACACTTCTACAGCATTGAGCAGGGCAATTACAACAATAGGGTTCTGCATTCAGTATAACTGTATATTTAAAGGTCCCATATCGTATAAAGTGAGATATCCTCGTCATGTCTTTATTAATACTGTGAAAGTATCAAAGCCTCAGTCCACAGAGAAATGCACACAGCCTGTGTTCAGAAACTTAGCCTTAAAACCAGCCGTCAGGATTTCTGTTACTTTGTGATGTCACAACAAAGCGCTCACCGCTCTCAACCGTGCCCTAAGCCCCGCCCACCTGGACCCACCCTCCAACCTTGCAGGATTTGGTTTCTCTGAGTGTTTACCTGAAATCAACTATATTTTTATTTGATCACTCAGAAAACAGTAAGCCAATCAAAAGAGAGAATCAGAGCCTCCTCTCTTCTGATTGGCTCACAGACCTGTTGTTACTAGAGCTTCAGAGAGAAGCCTGAGAGAGGAGATGTAAAACTACACTGAGATGGTTTTTGGTTCTTAAAACCACAAATAAATCTTCTTGTGGATCAACACTTCAAATAAAGCACAGGAAAAGTGTAAAATATGGAGCTTTTTTAAAAAAAGAAAGAAAAGATTATTACCTCATTGTTGGTAAATACAGGCCAATGTCTCACACCAGTTGCATGTGTTTACCATATGTATGTTCTGTGTATCAGGAGGAGAAGGACCAGCAGTGGAAACAGGCGATGGATTACCTGAGTGCTGTGACTGAACTCAACTATATGACACAGATTGTCATCATGCTGTATGAGGACAACAATAAGGTCAGCCTGCAGAGAGCTGCATTACTGGGGTTGCAAATAAGGATCGACCGATTATCGGCCTGGCCGATTATTGGTGGTAATATTCATCATTTTCCGATTATTGGTATCGTTATTTTTTTTTAACTTATAACCAATAAAATAAAAAGAGTTAACATGTTACTGCATAACATTTTAATAGGGGAGGTGTAAAACATGTTATTTGGTGATGATAATAATAATATATGATAAAACTATTAAAGAGCATCTTTAGGTTACCAGGTGAATCAGTTCACAGGTGAGAACAGCACCAGATCGACCAATTAATTCAAGTCAGGCTCTTTGCAGTCTGTGCATATAACTGGTAATTATTAATATACACTCAGTTGTCAGTTTATTAGGAACATGAAGGTAACACTGATGTAGTCTAATGCAACAGTCCTGCAGTAAATCCTCCATGAAGGTTATAATGTTTGTTTGTAATAAACCTGTTGTTGATTATCATTGTGTTGGATGTCGTGTGTGGACCTGTGTTACATTATAAAAAGGTGTTTCTGTTATTTGCCCTACATTCATTGATATAAATGGGGTGTAAAAAATAATAGAAACAGCTGGACGCCACAGTGAGTGTCCTTATACAGCAGTAGTTTTGTGTTGGCGTATCGGTTTCAAATATCAGTCATCGGTTTCGTTGATTACCGATAATCGGTATCTGCCCTGAAAAAAAAACATATTGGTTGATCCCTAGTTACAAAGGTCTTTCTCATTTATTTTCAGTTTTACGTATTGATTTCTTTATGTCTTTATATCTGTGTGGTGAGCAGGACCCATCCTCAGAGGAGCGTTTCCATGTTGAGCTTCACTTCAGTCCGGGAGTCAAAGGATGTGAAGATGAGGAGAACGTGCCTCTCGGCTTCGGCTTCCGCCCAGCCTCCTCTGAGGTGTGTGTGTGGTTGTCTTGCATTTTTTCGTCTTTTATAAGTGTTATACATTAGCCTGAGACAGTCTGTTTCTTTGGTTGCTCCATTAACAACCTTTTTAATATCTGATGATGCACAAAATAGCAGAACTGTATCTGGAATTAATGAATGGTTTAGCCATTTATCTCTGTTTTTACTTGCTACTGGGGCTTCCTCTCCTTCCTCTCTACCTTTTTTATTTCTTTTTGGTCACATTTGTTGTGTGGTTCTATCTTAAAGAGATAACGAGCTCTCCAGGGCTCCCAAATTGATTAATTGTTAATTATGAATTGTAAACACTGGAGATTTTGCCTGTTCCTCTCTCTGCACACAAAGTTTGATAGTGTTGCATAATTACACTCAGAAGTTAGATGCCTTTTTAGTGGGAAGTTATTTTGAAAAGTTAGTGAGCTCTTGCTTGCACAGTGATGACTAACTTTTTAGTTTTGAGGTATTGTGTGGTAAAAACATAACTCTGTCCACAGGAACGAGATTTAAATAATCATGTAGTGTCACTAGGTGCGTTTCCATGAACCTGCTTAATGCGCAATTTGAAACTGCAAACATGTGAATTTCGGAAAAACTCTCAGATGTCGCAAAAAATTAGACGCTTGCACAAGATGCCTTTTCTGACTACAAGACAAAGCAATATTGCACAAAATTTAAAATGGAAACAAATGTTGTGGCGCCTGCCCTATCATGCCAGGTCCAATCAAGAGTCAGACTGTTGGAAATCCGTCATCAGTTTTAATTAGCATGACATCGTGAGAGGAGGAAACTCAGCTTTGTTTGCATAACATAATGGAACAGAAAAACTTTTTCAAATTTCTATTTTGCACGAAACTGCAACAGAAACCCGACGACTGCCTCTAACTGCAGTTACATTGTAGTTGTTCGTCAACATCAGGCTTTTGTCATGTGCAGATGCACTCTCATAAAACCTTTATGTTCTGCCACACTGGTATTTAGGCCATTATGTTGTGGCGGCATCTGTCTATCTGTGTGAACTGTGTTTAACTCTGTAAGAATACATTACTGAAACACTTAAAGCACATGTTTCTCTTGTAAACAAAGTGTTTGATCTGATTTTGCTGATTTGGTTGGTTCCTTGCATTGAAATAGTTTAGTTCATGACATTCGTCTTGCCTCGTGAAAAAAACTGTTGACAGAAATATTTGTTGTTGCATTTAAGAAGTTTGGTTGTTTTTATCATCCAGTGCATGTGAGTTCATGAACACAAATATATATGAAATGTTAATAATTTCTGTCCTGTGTTCTCTGATCAAATCAGAACCAAGACAAAAAGCCGAATCAGGGCAGTCTGGAGGACCTCTCCCAGGACCAACCAGACCAGGCACTTCCTGTTTCAGAGCCAATCAACATCCAGCGAAGGTCTCCCATGATTCGCAACCGCAAGACCGGCTCCATGGAGGTACCAGTGTAGTAGCAGTAGTGTTTAAGCAGAATGTAGTCTGAATAATGTTAAATGTAGTCTGTCTTCAGTTCAGAGGTTGTGCTTTTGTCTTTTCTCTCTTTTCCTTTATGTCAAACTGTTTATGTTTTTGTTTAAATGAATGGGAGACATCAGGTCCCTGATTTACTGGGGTAACCGTCTCAGTCTTAACCCCTGGTCTCCATGGCCCCCACTCAGGTCCTCTCTGAGACCTCTCCCACCCAGTCCTCCAAAGGCTGCACATCCCACCGACTCTTCCCCTCGTGTTCACGCCAGTCTCCTGAGATCAAACCAACCAGTGGCTTAGGTGGGCACTACATTTCTGGTGTGTGTGTGTGTGTGTGTGTGTGTGTGTGTGTGGTGTGTGTGTGTGTGTGTGTGTGTGTGTGTGTGTGTGTGTGTGTGTGTGTGTGTGTGTGTGTGTGTGTGTGTGTGTGTGTGTGTTTTCTGTACATGTGTGGGGGAGAAAAAAGGGTATGAGAGAGAGAGTTTTTATGCCAACAGGCACACTGACCTGACCTCACATCACATTTATCTCCAGCTGTCTTCACCGATCCTCTTCCTCATCATAAGCCCTGACTTTGACTCTCCCTCACCCTCCCACCTCTCCACATCTCTCTGTGCCTCCTGCATTTCTTTATCTGTTTTCCTGTTTTCCTCTTTCCATCACCCCCCTCCCCTCCCCTCCCCTCTCTCGCTCTCTGATGGTCACATAGCTTCCTCCCCGGCTTAGCTTAGCAGCAGCCAAACAGGATCAGACTCCAAACTATTTAGGCAAGAGGTCAGTGGGGAGAGTTGCATTCACAGCCAACTGCAGGATCTCTGGTGTCACGAAGCGTTCAGAGAGGTACCGATACCCCCGCCAAGTGATAAGGTGACAACATAGTGAACATACTGTAGGTGTTTCTGTCTGTTACGTCTGAGGTCTGCACAGGAATTGAACAATGCCTCTTATGATCACATTAAATCAGTGGACTTTGTTTACTGGAGTTCCCACATCGGTTTTGCTGTTTAATTAACACAGCAAAACCGATGTGGGAACATAACCCATGTCCTAATTACTACATACTAATTGTGTACACTACATAACATGATGAAAGAAATGCAGCATGTCAACAATAAGTAAACTTAACTTAAGGAAAATGTCCAAGGATTTATATATAGATTTTTTTGTTTTTCAAGATCAATTTATTTCATTTTTTGCCGCTGTAATTAGCTCCTTCATTTCCTTTGTGCAATGCATTATGGGACAACAGTGCACATTAACAGCAGACTCAAAAATCAAGCATTTCTCTGTGTAGCTTCTGTGCACACTCGGTCTGCTTAGATTTAGCTTATTGTAGAGGACTGAAATCCTGAAATAAAAAAAATATATATATATATTAAAAAAAAAATGCTGGTCATAAAGCTAAGAATTAAAAATACAAGGCAATATAAAAAAGCACATATTACAGTTGTATATAAAATTGCATCATTGTATTTGAAAGAAATGGTAGCTCATGCACACAATGAGAATTAATAGCAGATTAATAATGGTACAATCTTACACACCTGATGGGCCCGTTAGGTTGGGGTTCGATTTCTTGAAATATTAGCTGGCAGGATCACCAATCAGCATTGTTGTTGACCAGTAAAGAAGCTATGTGTGAAAAAATAGGGTGTAAAAACACTGACTTTAAAGCCAGAACTCATTTTTAAGAGAACTTGTTATGATAATTGCAGATGTCAATGAAGAATAAATATTGCAAAAGAAATTTAAATCATTTGAAATAAGTAGATATGAGAATCTCCTGGTGCGGTACATCCACCACAGCCTAACAAGGTTTCAATTGCTGTAACATCTTAAACAAATCAACACACGCATAAAAATGACTTCTGTGTTGCACCAAATATGGTTCATTCTCTTGCTACGATGAACCCTTAATAAATTAATTTAACATTTGCATTTTATCAAGTAAAATGTTCCAGGTCAGTTGATCTAACCTCCCCCCTATGAAAGGACCCTTGAATGACTCTTGTGTTGCTGTATTAACAGTTCCCAAGGGCATGTAACCTCCAACAACCTGCTAACATGGTGACACTCACACAAGCAGGAAAGGTCGGTGGCTAAATCAAGACGTGTGGACAAAACCATAAAACTATGAATGTGAGAATGGGGAGTGGAGTCACTTTGTCCAAACAGTTTTGTCATGTGCGTTCACTGGGAGTCTGAAACCCATGTACTGCATCTCACCAAGCTACAGGAAACAGCTTCACTACATAGATTGATATTACACAAGAATATAAGATGTGCTTATAAAATCTTTTAAAGCTCTAATTATTTAAAAAGTCAGCAAGTCTTTACCTCTCTTGTGCCAGAGCAGTAAATCGATTAAATGATGGAGTATTTTATTTTAGCAATACATAATATCCTCCTGGAAAAAAGGGTAGTTCTATTCAATATGATTACATTGCTTCTGCTTGCACAAGCAAGACCTAAAAGAGATAATGAAACTAAATGAGTGCAAGAGAGGAAGGAAGGCAAATATAAGCCTTTCCAAATATGAAAAGAATCACAGGTCCAATCAAGTGTAATCGTAAACATCAGGCAAAAGGGCAGTGTGGTTGTAGTGCTTCTTCTCCCTAAATATGTTATCATCATCATCACGCCACTCAAAGCTTGATTATCACAGGTCTGAAAGTAGCAGTTGGTTCTGTGTTTACACGACATCAAAGCATCTCCATCTTAAGCCTCTGGGTATTCTCTGAGTGGAGCCTGCCGGTTTGTTTATGTATTGTAAGTGTGAGGCTGCCGAGTGACCCCTTCCCTGTTCATCTCCAACACCAACAACACTGACGGCTCAGGTCACAGACGAGAGCAGCAGGTGTCGGGGACGACCTTAGTGAGCTGCTTTTCATACCTTCATACTGTTTATAGAACAAAGGAATGAGGCGCAGACTCAACACTGAGGCCCTTTTAATTTTTTTTTCTTTGCAGTTTCAAAGATATTTCCTCCTCTGTGTGGTCTACAAATTCAATATTGATTTGAAAAAATAAATCTTGTATTTATTTTTTTGAAAAAGAGAATTTGGCTGTTTGGTATTGGCAGCAATAACTGCAACTACAGATGGTTTGTGCACAGCAGGGGTCTGAGACAGTCCCATTTCCACACTCGGCCTGTTCATCACGCCTCTGCTGCTTTCTGCATACAAAACACACATGTTGTGTATGCACTATGTGGGTGCATACATATGCATACACCCACATAAGCACACACGGGTCTTATAGATGCAGTCCCTGTTGTGAAAACCTTGTAGCTTGTATGTCATCATTTCTGGGAACAACGTTTTCTGATTGTACATTTTTAGAATCGATTTTTTCACAATTAAAGCGAAAACATGAAAGTCACCCAAACTGTACTTACAAGGTTTTCACACAGGTGTACATCCTTTGAGATGTACACCCACTCATGCCAAAAACTGCCCATAGCAACAGTTTGTTATGACAATAATGGCATGGTGTGTAATGAAAACTAATACTCACCCTTCGCACCTCCACCCATCCCCCGACCCCACACACCTCCCACCCTGGCTCCTCCTCACACAGGCTCGCTCTGCTCTGGCCTCTTCAGTGCCTCTGCCCTCGGGGTGTCCTGTAGCGCCCCCAACCTGCGGGACTACGTCCGCACTCACCACCACCACCACCGAAAACCACCCCTGTCCCCCGGCAGTCTGCCATGCCAGATTGGCATGTTCGGTATGTGCACACCATTGTTTGTCTTCCTTCACAAGGCGGGTGTTTTTTTTTTTTTTTTTTGTTTTTTTTTTTGTTTGTTTTTTAATCTCTATCGTTTTCGAGGTCTCCAAACTCTCTTTCTGGCTTTAAAACTTATTTTTTTTCTTCCTCTTTTTTTCTCTCCAAGCTTCCGATACCTTTGATTTTTTTGGGACATTCAGTATTGTCACTGCTTTTTGGATCAAAGCTCCTTTTCCTCTCACTCCCTTTTCCAAAACAAACCAGCAATTTCAAACTGTTGCATCACCTTTTTGAGCGATTTACCTTAGTGTGCATGACAACGGCACTGATTTGACAGCAGAGATGACTGGCTGTGCAGCAGATGCTGGGCATGCAACCTTGCATTGGATTGTGTGACATTATAGGTGATCAGTGTTTTTCCAGAGCAGCATGACCACTCACTGATCACACTTCCGTCTTCTTGGGTCCGAATGTGCTGGAATGTTCTCTCCCTGTGCATGTTGTAGTACATTATGTACATAGATCCTCTCTCGGGGAATTTCAGTTCATAATTAAGTAAAGTAGTTTTTGTGTCTGGAAAACAGAAGCCCGGCTTTTCTCATTAATCACAATTCATGGTAATCCTCACATTAAGAAACTCAGCCTGTTATTTAGAACAGATATATTTTCAAGACCCAATAATCCACCTTTACATAATCCCCAGTCACATTCTCCCTCTCTACACTTTCCCCTCAGTTTTATGTTGCCAATGGTGAGTACAAGCAAATTGTTTTCACAGCCACCAGGGGTCCTTATATTGGGTTTAATTATCCCAAACATCTGTGTTGGATATCATTCTCATGGTCACATCTGTTTAGTTAAACAAGTTTGTTTAGTTGCTTCCAAAGATGAATATGACACCCTCAGGCTAAGTCAGCAGCGGATCATTTTACTGGCAAATTATATGTATCCATATGGATACATATAATACACACTGGCTAAACTAAAGGGAGTTTCCTTCCCACTGCGGGTTTGAAACGCAGGAAACTGAGGTGTTGAGTTTGTCCACTGGGTGTCACTCTGACTGCAAGGCTACACACTGCCACGAGCAAACCGATGTTTTCCTCTCTCAGCTCTTACATCATGTTATGTGCTGCTCTGTGAGAGACAGGTCGGGTTTGGACTGACGTCCATGCTGTTCATTTAAGGGAAGAGACAGCTGCTTCCAGACAAAATATCAATCTGTTGTTACAGGAAACGTAAAAGGAAGTCAGTCCTGGTTTGAATGCAAACCTGAATGCCAACCTTTTATGTTCCCCCACAGCCCTGTCAGATACATACACCTTAATCAACACCACCCATCATGCTCCAAATGTTTTTTTGAATGGATTTTAAACTTGATGTAATTTAACACTAGTAATGTAATGTAATGTAGTGATCCTGGATCCTGGAAAAGAGATCAGGCTTAAAACCTCAGTTTTTCTCATTAGGGTTGGTCGAGTTTGCATTGCTGCCACTTGGAGTTAAAGTGGCAGAAGCAAGTCTTTTGTTCAATTCAATGATTTATTTACAACTGGCTATAATCAATATTTCTGTATTAACAGTGGATCACATGACTACTTTTGTATGAAAGGGGTCACCTGTAGTGATGCAACCACACAGAGCCATAACCTGACTCTTCAATTCCCCTCAGCTTTATTGATCTCCATACCATCTTTCATCATTTTGTTTTTTCAGGCTGCAACTTTATTGTTTTGATCCACTCTTAGCTCTTAAAGCACTGTACACTACCTGCTCAGCACCAGGCAATATACAGACGGGGTTAGTGGTGAACATAGTGAAGCATTTAGCAGCTACAGAGCCAGTTATTTCCCTCAGGAGTTGGTGGAGACCAAAAACAGAGCTAATAGAGTGATTATTAGACCTATTTGTCAGGTGGTCAGAAACATGACTTCAGTTCTTGTTTGGGTTTAGAAAACAAGAAATAACATGTTAATTAATGAGATTTAGAGGTACATGTTGGTAGATTGTGCTGCTTTTGGACAAAACCAAGCTACACGTGTCCCTCTGCTTTTAGGCTTTATGCTAAGCTAAGCTAACAGGCTGCTGTCTGTAGCGACATATTTGCAGTATAGACATAATAGGGATATCAATCTTCTCATCTAATTCTTGGCAGAAAGGTGAATAGGTGTATTTCACAAAATGTCAAACTACTGCTTCAAAGCCAAAAAGAAAGTCGGAAGCTGATTTTAGGACAGGTAGAGAAGGGAGAGTGGATTCTCAGATTGTTTCCAGTCACAGAGTAACGCCCTTCAGATTAAGACTCAGCATCACTCCTCCTGCATGTTTATTATTCAACCAAAACATCCATCATTTACTCCTCCACCCCATAACCTTTCCCTTCACTTCCTCTGATAGCCTATCTCCTCTTTGTTTATTCAGAGATTACTCTCATTTTCACGCATGTTGTTTGGCAGACAGACATTGATGAATGGACAGGCTACCTCTCTCTTTCATCCTGTTTTTCTCTCCTCTTTTTTTCCTCCTCATGTTAACACATACAAACAGGCAACCAGGCAGACACAGGTACCAACAGTCCCAGTAATACCAGTTACCTTTCTTATCTCCTCAGAGCTGTTCTCTATGCCGGCAGTAAAGAGATTTTCTGTGTCGTTTGCCAGGCATCCGACTAATGGTATGTCTGTATTTATTCAAGTTCATTTCGACACTCCTCCAGTTTTCCTTGTTATCTTGCATGACCTTTTTGTGGGAAAACATCTCTTGTGTTTTCTGTTTTTGGGGGGTTTGACGTTTGGCTGCGTTAATTACATTAAACGTCTCCAGGATTCAAAATTTTTCTCACGAGTTTCTGTTTCTCCGCACACACCCTCGGTGTTTGTTGTACCCTGTGTTGTTTTCGGCCCTCACCTCTAACACCACCTGCTCTGCCTGCATTTGTTTAATTTGCCTCTCTGATCCCGCTGTTTCTTCACAGTATGGATGTATGTGCCCTATGTGGGATATATCTCTCCTTCCTCAGATATATTTCCACGTGCAGATAATCTGTGCACACATCATAACATATCCTCTCCTGCACTTTTTGTTCATTTTAAATCATTTATTCTATTAATTTCTTAGTTTTGGCTACAAAAGAGTCATTTAAAACCAGCCTTTTCTGGTTGAAAGTTTCCACATGCATCATCACTGGTGGCTGTGGTCAGATAAATGTCTTGCATCTGTAACTGCACCCAACAGTGTTGTCATGATGCACTGATCACACACTGGAGTGCACCTCTACGTCACTGCCGCAAGGTGAGAAGTTAAACCACTGGATGTCAGAGGAAACATTTTTTTCAGGGGGTTTTAGGTTGATCTTTAAACTACAGGTGAGCTGCATTTCAACAAGTGAATGAGGAGCTCTTCACCAAATCACACAGTAAGATGTCCTGTACTGGGATGTTTTGAGTGTTCTTTTATTCATTTGCTGGTTTTTGACTCACATGTTTCAAGTAACTGGAATTTTTTTTTTTACCTGCACATCCAACAGGACAAGGATGAGTTGTGTTCAACTTCATTTAGCTGGGACAATAAGTCCATTTAGTCTTGGAGTTTTTTTTTTTTTTATTTTTCATTGATTTCTCAGTTGTCAGCGGAACTTCTGCTCACCTGTGAATCGACAGGAGTGTCAGTGAAGACCATGGATCGACTGAGGTAGAGCTAAAAACTCCTGCACACTGTGTACCACATTCTTAGTTGGAAAAAACTTTATTGGCGATGTTTCAGTGCACAGGCTTTCATCAGGTTATTGTCATCATCAGGTAAAATAACCTGATCTGTGCACTGAAACATCGTAAATAAGTGGACTAGACAATGTGCCATAGTTTTTTCTTGCTCAGCCATTGATTTCTCAGTGAAGAGGGTTTTCTTTTAATCACATTGATTTATCAAATTAGTGCCATTTCACTGGCAACTTTTTCTAATTCTGATATAATTGACACGAGCTGTAATAGTTAGCCATTCCATTGATTAGTTGATTGAAAAAAATCATGTTACATTGGCGACTATTTTTATGGTTGTTTAATCATTCATTTTTTAAGCAAATATACTCTGGCTGCAGTTTCTCCAGCTGCTTTTCTGTCCTTTATATCATTGTATTAGAATATGTTTGTCTTTTGGGCTGTTGGCCAGACCAAACAACACATTAGAATATGTTACGTTCAGGATATTATGATAGCACTTTTCACCATTTTCAGATATTTCAGAGACCAAACAGTGAATTGATTAACCAAGTAAATAATCATCAGATTAAGCGATAATTAAAAAAATTGTTAGCTGTAGCACTATAATTGAAAGAACCTACTTGTTCTGCTTTTTTAAAATCCCACTTGATACTGAGTGTTTGTTCTACCTGTTGGTTGTGTCACGACCGGCTCAAAGCCATGACAAAGAAAACAGGAGGCAACACAAGGAGTTAAAGCAAAGAGACAATTATTTATTTTTAACCATCGTTTAACTCAAAGAATCAAAAATACTGCGAGGTGTGGGAGTCAGTCTGTCAGTAGTGGTAGCGTGAGCGCACGAGTGGAGAATGGTGTATGAAGTGTGGTCAAAAAACAAAAGCATAAGGAGAAGACGAGGAGCGTCTGGAGCATCGCTTCCCTCTGTGTCTCGCTCATCGGGGGAGAAGCGTGGGGGGTTCAAGTAGCCCAGAGGGCCCAGGTGTGCCCAGTGAGCCATTACCCAGCCACACCCACTGGACTCTAGAAGAGAAGAAGTAGACACAAGCAAGCCTCCTGGCCACCAGCCACAAACGGCGGGGGCGTCACAGTTGACACACAGTAATCCACTCATACAGCCAGACGGTCGAATCTAACTGACTATTGTACAAAGAATGAAGGTTCAGCAGTTAATGAACAGGTTTGCTGCTTTCACACTCAGTCTCGAACACGTCCGTGTCCGTTTGTCTTCAGTGCCGTCTCTCGGTGTCACCGGGGAGTAGCCAATGAGCTTGATGTGAAGTT